CATTCATATATAATCGGTGCCTTTCTAAGAACTACTTTCCATCAGCATTTAAAATTGCTAAAGTGTATCCTCTACTCAAACCTGGCTCAGCTGGCAACAGTTCTCTTGGCAGTTATAGACCCATTTCTCTACTGTCCTCGCTATCCAAACCATTGGAGAAACACATACATAAAATAACGTTTCAGCATTTAAATAACAACAATCTGATAGTTGATAGCCAATCAGGGTTCAGGCCTATGCACTCTTGCCATACTGCGATGACAAAAATGACAGACAACTGGCACTTTAACATCAACAAAGGCAAAATTTGTGGTGCAGTTTTTGTAGACTTTAAGAAAGCATTCGATATGGTTGATCATGATATTCTAATTAATAAATTAAAAATATTAAAAACTAACGATAATTTAGTAGAAATAATGCGGTCATTTTTATCTGATAGACAGCAAGTAGTATCCTTCAACAACCGCCTGTCAGAATCCACTCATTTAAATATAGGCGTGCCACAGGGGTCGATTCTAGGTCCACTGCTATTTTCCACGTATATTAACGACCTTCCATTACATCTTAGTATAACATGCGATTTATTTGCTGATGACTGTACAATATATACTAGTAATGAGAATCGTAATGAGTTAGAAAGATCTTTACAGAAAGAAGTACACAATCTTTGTAAATGGAGCAACAACAATCGCATGCAAATTAACATAAATAAAACGAAGTCTATGCTTATAACAACCAGACAAAAGTTGCAAACATTAGTACTGCACAAGCCGACACTCGAGCTCTACATTGATAAATTACCTATTGTTAATGTAACGGAACACAAAACTTTAGGCCTTACAATTGACAACCATTTAACCTGGAATTCTCATGTTTGTGTGATAACTAAGAAAATAGCACAAAAAGTTTATCAGCTTGCAAAAATTCAGCACTTTCTAGACGAAGATGCAAGAAAAGTATTTTACGCGTCTTACATCCAAACACATGTCGACTATTGTTCCACAGTTTGGGATGGTTGCGCCAAATCCAATGTTAAAAGACTAAGTTCTCTTCAAAATCGTGCTTTACGACTGGTTTCAGATAATAAACATATCGTAAAAAATAATCTCTATAACCATCTAAGACTATTGCCATTTAGCAAACGTTTAATTTTTGACAAGGCCACATTTATTCATAAAATTTTATCTCAAAATACTCCAAACTACCTATTCCGATTAATTAAATCAAATCCTATAAATAGCAAGCGACTAAATTTATTACATTTACCTAAACCTAGAATAGATTTATATAAAACAAGTTTAGCGTACTCCGCTGCTCATTTGTGGAACCAACTTCCACTAAACCTGAAAAATTCTAAAAGTCCCTATTCATTTAACCATAAACTTTTTCAATTCATACTTACAAGCGATTATATGCCACCTTGAATGTAATGTAACCCATATTGCATTATCAATTTATTATTAAACAAGGTGTGTATGATATGTATGTTTGCGCGCGCGCGTGTGCTTGATATGTATGTATGTGTAGGCGTGTTTGTATACATATGACTCTGAGTATGTTGTTTGTCTGCTTGTGTATCTGGGTGTGTTTCTGCGAATGTATGCGTCTTTGTCTGTGTGCGAATGTGTGTGTGTTCGCGCGTATGTCCACGTGTATGTTTCAGTGTGAACTGGTTTCTGTGTGTTTAAGTGTGCCTCTTTGCTGTGTATGTGTGTCTGCATGTGTGTGTGTGCGATTGGATACATGTAGCTGTGAATATGTGTCTGTGTGTGTGTTTCTGTGTTTGTCTGCATGTGTGTGTCTCGGTGTTTTTCTGCATATTTGATGTGACTGTGTGTATATCTACGTTTGTGTCTGTGTGTGTCCCCGTGTGTGTTTGTCTTCATGTTTGCCTGTGTATGTTTATGTGTTTTGTCTGCGGGTGTGTCTATGAGGCTGTATGTATGTATCTCTGTGTGTGGGTGTCTGTATGTCTGTCTGCGTGACTGTATGTGTCAGCATGTGTCTGTCTGTCTGTGCGTGTTTCTCTGTGTGTGTTGTGTGTGCACCCCCTTTGTTGTCTGTATGTGTGTGCATGTCAGAGTATATGTCTGTGCGTGCTGAATATATGAGTCTGCGTGTGTATTTCTATATGTTTGAATGATTATGCATTTCTGCGTGTTTGTCTCTGTGGGTGTCAGTATGTGTTTGTCTGCCTGTTTGTCTGTATTTGTGTGTGTGTGTTTGACTGCGTGTGTGTCTATGTGGCTGTATGTATGTGTCTGCATGTTTGTCTGCGTATGTGTGGTGTGTGTGTGTCAGTGTGTGAGCACGAATGTAAATATGTGTGCTGTGTGTTTCCCTGTGTGTGTTTACATGTAAGTGTCTGTGTGTGTGTCTGTATTTTTGTCTGAGTGTGTGTATGTCTCTGTGGGAGTGTCCGTGTGTGCATGTGTGTGTCTCCATGCATGACTGTATTTATGACTGTATGTGTGTATGCCTGTATGCATGTATGTTTGTATCTATGTATGTATGTATGTATGTATGTATGTATGTATGTATGTATGTATGTATGTATGTATGTATGTATGTATGTATGTATGTATGTATGTATGTATGTATGTTTGTGTGTACGTATGCCTGTGTGTATGTGTTTATGCATGTTTGTTTGTATGTATCTGTGTATGTATGTATGTATGTATGTATGTATGTATGTATGTATGTATGTATGTATGTATGTATGTATGTATGTATGTATGTATGTATGTATGTATGTATGTATGTATGTATGTATGTATGCATGTATGTATGTATGTATGTATGTATGTATGTATGTATGTATGTATGTATGTATGTATGTATGTATGTATGTATGTATGTATGTATGTATGTATGTATGTAATGTATGCATGCATGTTTGTGTGTGTAAGTGAGTGGGTGAGCGTGTGTATGTGGGTGTATGTATGCACGCGCGGGTTTTTGCATGCACTTTACAACTCATGCTTTTGTGTTCTTTTATAATATTCATAATATGCATAACATCATATGATTATAACATGCTTTATTAGTAAAATACAACTGCTGTGCGAAAGATGGTTGACTGGAAGGGCCGAATGTAAGACGGGCCTGCGTGCCCAATTTGTGACCCTTTGAAAATAAAGTTCGGTCTGTCTGTCTGTCTGTCTGTCTGTCTACTTACCTACTCACCTACCTATATATATATATGTGTGTCTCTCTACCTATACATATATGTGTGCGTGTTTATATATAATATAAATGTGCGCGTCTATGTAATTTTTTTCCTCTCTGTCACCTCACCCCACATTTTATCTTCGCCTTGACAACCGTCTGTCCATATTCACACACGATGCCGATTGTATTTTACTGTAAGCTCTGGTGGAAAGTTCTTATCGTTCGTCCACTTATGCTTTCCCCTGTCGACTTCAATGTGATATTGATGGAAGTTTGTAATGGAAAACAGCAAATGCCATTTCAGCTTGGCTAGGATCCTTATATTTGCATTCAGGCCGTGCTTTAGGGGAAGCAGGAGGGGGAATAGAAAGACTGGGAAGGAGAGATAACTAGCTAAGCGATTCCCGAGTGGCAGAATCTGTTGGTAATTGGCAAACTCTTTAGAATGAAACTATATATCACCTTGTCGGTTCACTTCTAAAGTAGTTCGTTTCGTCAAATATCCCAAAACGCGCATATTTACATTTTAAAGAGTGTACGTACATGCACAGAGATTTTTCTCTCGGCGACTGAGAACACTGAGGTACTCCCAGCGGCCATCATAGTAACGGGGTGAATAATCTAACCCTGCTTTTTGGAAACCTAGGTTTGCCACATTGTGATCTTTCAAAACTGTGACACGTCTTACAACATTAAATTTTATTTCGATTGTGTTCCATGTATATTTTTTCTTATGAGCTGCTCCTTTTTATTTATTTATTTATTTATTTTTTGTAAACAAGTGTGTGTGTGTGTTTTTTTTTTTTTTTTTTGCATTAAATGTCCGTAAAATTCCCAGCATGAGACATGTTTGAAATTACCTGTAACAAGAAAAGTTGTCGTGACTGAATCCAAATTAAAACAGATTCTCTCATTGGTCTATTGTTCGATGATTAAAGAATTTAGTCTGGAGGACCTAGGGTGTCTGTATAGTCTGTTCTCTGTGTCTGTTTAGTCTGTTCTTTGTGTCTGTATAGTCTGTTCTCTGTATCTGTATAGTCTGTTCTCTACTCTTTAGTCTATCCAGTCGGACATGCTCTGCTGCTACCCGACCTAGTTCTCAGAATCATTGAAAAATATAAGCCTCGATCTGGTAAAAATAACTTTTTGTGGAAATGTCTTCCGCATGGTGACCAAATAATCCTCTTTTCAACGAGACAGTAGTTTTTTTTTTTTTTTTTTTATTTTCTAATAACCCATTTATTAATCTTCAAAATAATAATTCATTCAATAACACATGTTAGAAATCAAACAGTAGTTCAAAATGTGTAAAAAAAAATACTCGATAACAATTGTTACCGCCGACCGGCCTCGCTAGCCTCACAAAAACGGGAATTCCCGTTTGAACTATAGGCCTTATTCTATATGGCTCAATTCTAAAACAATATATTGTCTCAATTGACGGTATCGACGGGACGATCTAGGCTACCTAAAAAAATGATACTGTATCGGAGAAAACAGGACGATATGTTCACATTAGTCTTTCATGTATCCCCTAACATAGGCACTGTAACGTCATGGTAACTTCGTGTTCACGTGTCTGTCCCCTCACCACGTGTCTGCCTTCTGGTCACGTGTCTGCTCCCCTGGTCACGTGTCTGCCCCCTAGCCACGTGTCAGCCCTCTGACCACGTGTCTTCCCCCTTGCCAGTTTTTTTTTACTCTGGCTACGTGTCAGCCCCCATGTCCAAATGTCTGCCCCCTGAAAACATGTCTGCCTCTCTGACCACGTGTCTATCCCTCACATCGTCATTGCTTACCCTGTGGCCATTTCTCTGTCTGCAGTGGAGAGAGACGTGACGTCAGACCCGGCGCCCCGTCAGAGCCCAACGAGTACAACTTCAACTTCAAGAAACGTGGCCTCTTTATCCTCATCAACAACAGACATTTCGAGGAGGAAGTTGGACAGCATCCCAGGTGAGTAATTTAGTGATAATCAATATAAGATCATCTGGACGTTATTACCAAAGACAGTTCTGACTTTAAAATCCACAAAAAAAATTTTTTTTAAATCGAACGAAAAGTATATCAGCAAGCTTCACAGTATAACAAACCCAAACAAAACGTGAACTTTGCTGCTATGGAGCTTCATCAGCCCATACATGAATCAAACAAAACAAAACAAATACATGAAGTCACTTAGCTTAGTACCTCGAAGCAGCCATGTCGATATCTTGCCACTTTACAATCAACATATGATCCAGACGTTATTACCGAGGACAATTCTGACTTTACAATAACATATGATCCAGACGTTATTACCGAGGACAATTCTGACTTTACAATCAACATATGATCCAGACGTTATTACCGAGGACAATTCTGACTTTACAATCAACATATGATCCAGACGTTATTACAGAGGACAATTCTGACTTTACAATCAACATATGATCCAGACGTTATTACCGAGGACAATTCTGACTTTACAATCAACATATGATCCAGACGTTATTACCGAGGACAATTCTGACTTTACAATCAACATATGATCCAGACGTTATTACCGAGGACAATTCTGACATTACAATCAACATATGATCCAGACGTTGTTACCGAGGACAATTCTGACTTTACAATCAACATATGATCCAGACGTTGTTACCGAGGACAATTCTGACTTTACAATCAACATATGATCCAGACGTTATTACCGAGGACAATTCTGACTTTACAATCAACATATGATCCAGACGTTATTACCGAGGACAATTCTGACTTTACAATCAACATATGATCCAGACGTATTACCGAGGACAATTCTGACTTTACAATCAACATATGATCCAGACGTTGTTACCGAGGACAATTCTGACTTACAATCAACATATGATCCAGACGTTATTACCGAGGACAATTCTGACTTTACAATCAACATATGATCCAGACGTTATTACCGAGGACAATTCTGACTTTACAATCAACATATGATCCAGACGTTATTACCGAGGACAATTCTGACTTTACAATCAACATATGATCCAGACGTTATTACCGAGGACAATTCTGACTTTACAATCAACATATGATCCAGACGTTATTACCGAGGACAATTCTGACTTTACAATCAACATATGATCCAGACGTTATTACCGAGGACAATTCTGACATTACAATCAACATATGATCCAGACGTTGTTACCGAGGACAATTCTGACTTTACAAGCAACATATGATCCACACGTTATTACAGAGGACAATTCTGACTTTACAATCAACATATGATCCAGACGTTATTACCGAGGACAATTCTGACTTTACAATCAACATATGATCCAGACGTTATTACCGAGGACAATTCTGACTTTACAATCAACATATGATCCAGACGTTATTACCAAAGAAAGTCCTGACTTTATAATCAAAATGGAATCTAGACGTTATTACCACAGATAATTCTTAATTTGCAATCAACATGTGATCAAGCGTTATTACTAAAGAAAGTTATTACTAAAGAAAGTTCCGATTTAATACCCCACAATGATCTCCCGGAACCCATACAGGGATGTTTCTTGGATTGAACCTGTGCCTCTGAATGGGCAGATAAGCGCACTTACCTCCAGTCTCCGTCTCTTTATAAACATTAGCTATATTCTAGTCAAGATGCAAAGGTAATCCTTTTTTCAGATATGCATCTGGGCCCACCAAATCATGCCCTGTTTATCTCCCTGCATTATCACTGGGACACACAGAGAGATGAGGTGATTTATTCCGCTGTCATATTTCTGCCCAACGTAAGATTTCACCAGGGTTTTCAAACTGTGAACACTGGAACACACAGAGATGAGGTGATTTATTCCGCTGTCATATTTCGACCCAACGTAAGATTTCACCAGGGTTTTCAAACTGTGATCACTGGAGACCTATTTTGATCTGATGAAATGTTATGCCAACCATTTCCGTTGGTTCATGCTTTACTGGGGGAAAAGAAAATTCACGTTCAACCAGCATTCTCGAAGGGGGAGCTTCAGGTTATAATTTTGACTACTTTATGTGTGCCATACAAAATAGCTAGGCAATGCACGCCACTAAAAGCCCTGAAAAGGACTCCTACAATGTTGATGCGATCAAAGGAGACATCCAAATACTGTCCAGAACGGCAACAAAGTCGTCTTCCGACGAGTCATTAGGCGACCCGCTCGCTGATTAGTTAGTTAGTTAGTTAGTCTTTCCTCTTGTGTCGAGTGCGGTACATAGGGCAGAGGTCATGACTCTCCACATTTAATCTTACAAAAAATTAGTTCCAAAACCATAGGCAATTATTTTGATTATAAAGAAATGCATATATATATATAAAAAAAGTCTGTATCAACGGCGTCAATGCAACACAAACAGTGACTGTTAAACTCAGTGGACAAGACAACCGAGATTCTAAACAACCAACTACAACGACAAACCAAAAAAAAAATACTTGGATGGGGAGGGTGGACGTAAGGGGCTATATTAAAAAACGAGATAAGTATTAGGGCGTCTGAAAACAAAGAGAAGTAATGTACACAAGTTAAACAAATTAATAAGATTAAATATAGATGTTTTGAAACCGAGGCATTTTATGAGTATAGAAAAGAAGAAGAGGAAGAAAAAAGTTGAGTCCTCCAGAAATTAGAACACCAAAACTATGAGTGAGACGATTTTTTAAGGAGTAACGGCTGTTTTGGTCACCGGAGCAAGGTTTTATATTAGTAACTGATATATTACTTTCGCCTTCGTCGTCAGAACTATTAAAATCGAAAGAGACCGGTGTGAGATTGTTATCTGGAATATCTTCAAGGTCTTCATGGAAACGATCTGCTAGCTTCCTGCCAAATTCGTCAGTAGATGCTTCTGTGTGGGTTTTTTTTTTGGGGGGGGGGGGGAGGGGGGAGTGGGAGGAACTTGTTTTCTTTGAACATTACAGCATCAGTTAGGTTAGGCTTTTCGCAAGTAACTGCTTCCCTAATGTGAAATAAAGCCTTTGATGATCAAACTGACGGTGTTTGGTTCACAACAGGACACGTAAAAGCATCTAGTCAGGGAGCAGTTGGAAGTACCCAAAGGAAGCGCTGTGTGGATCGGAAGCAGTCTGCTTCTAACAAGTTTGCTTTTAAGATTGCGGTCTCGCTTGTGAAAGCATCTAGTCCAGGAACATACTCAAAATCAGCGTATGATTGGGGCCTCCGACGGGGTTAAAGCATCGTTTCTGTTTCCTTTACTGTTATCACTATGCTTTGTTGGCCCCCAGGGTGGTTCCTTTGCGTGGGTACAGGCTGTCAGACAAACAGAGAGGTATACGTATGTTCAACATGTTTGGGGACATTTCAACGGTTGATTGAAATGTAATTAGTGAAAAGCTCTAATAATCACAAACCTCGCCTTCTGCAGCCTATGAGAATTATCGATTGATTGTTCCGTTGTTTTTCTGCAGAACGTGTATTATTATTTTTTTTTTTCAGTTGGCTTTAATCTATGTTTTTTACATGTTATCTGTTTTCTGATCCCTTCCCGTCCCCTTCCCCCCCCCCCCGCCCCCCCCCCCCCCCCCCCCCCCCCCCCCACAGAATTCTGCACTTGCTGTCTCAGTTAGTAAGATTAAACTGTTTACTAATGTGTGTCTTTGTGTGTGTGTGTGTGTGTATGTGTGGTCATTACTCCACCCTCTCTTTCTACGTGTGTTGCTGTATCTAACTACATTTTAATCTATCTATCTATCTATCTATCTATCTATCTATCTATCTATCTATCTATCTATCTATCTATCTATCTATCTATCTATCTATCTATCTATCTATCTATCTATCTATCTATCTATCTATCTATCTATCTATCTATCTATCTATCTATCTATCTATCTATCTATCTATCTATCTATCGATCTATATCTATCTATCTATCTATCTATCTATCTATCTATCTATCTATCTATCTATCTATCTATCTATCTATCTATCTATCTTATCTATCTATCTATCTATCTATCTATCTATCTATCTATCTATCTATCTATCTCTATCTATCTATCTATCTATCTATCTATCTATCTATCTATCTATCTATCTATCTATCGATCGATCGATCATCTATCTATCTATCTATCTATCTATCTATCTATCTATCTATCTATCTATCTATCTATCTATCTATCTATCTATCTATCTATCTATCTATCTATCTATCTATCTATCTATCTATCTATCTATCTATCTATCTATCTATCTATCTATCTATCTATCTATCTATCTATCTATCTATCGATCTATCTATCTATCTATCGATCGATCGATCGATCGATCGATCGATCGATCGATCGATCGATCGATCCGTCCGTCCGTCTGTCCGTCGGTCGGTCGGTCGGTCGGTTCGTCGGTCTGTCGGTTTGTCTGTCTGTCTGTCTGTCTGTCTGTCTGTCTCCCCGTTCTACAGAACACTGAACGAAGGAACGCTCGATGTCAGCTACATATGATGTCTCTTTCTCTGTTAATCGCAATTATTGATTCCACCCAGACCCTAACCATCTCAAATGAGTAAGTGAGACATTTGTGGAATCTGCACCCTATCACCCATATGCACCACATTTAAAATGGCTACCCCATACACATGCAGGTAGGTAGTTGTCATGAAATGATGTCAACTCAAACAAACAGTAGAGCCAGGCAGCTTCACGTTATGACAAACACAAACGGCAGGTGGCTAGTGAGTCTTACGGTAGCACATTGCATGAGTTTATAATTCCACAAACAAAACTACACACGCAAAAATCAGTTAACATTAATCTAGGCGAGAAATGCACGTTTGTCTCAGCAGTTGAATGCCTGACACATATGTGACCACCGAAGAAAACAAAATTTGCCAGAAAAGCTGTGAACAGCAAGAGCTGTAACTCTTAAATTTTAGATAATACTGTTCTGTGTGTTATGTCCCATAACTGCAGCCCTTTAGTTAGATAAGGCGGTTCTAGAGAGACTTACAGAGGTAGTTTGGCAGGTTCGCTAGCTAGGTGTGAGTTAGGTATGCTTGCAGACAGAAGGTAGGTAGCAAGTAAGTAGGCAGGTAGGGTATGTCGGCAGATTGATAGACATAAATGTTGGTAACAACGTAAAATGGTAGGTAGGTGAAGAAGCTGCTATGGCGTGTGGAGGGTATGTAAGCGTGCAGGTAGAAAGTTAAGAAGGCAGGCAGGCAGGTAAGTAGATTAGTAGTAGGTAGCTGGTATATAGGTACGTAAGTGGGTAGATAGGTACATGGATTATTAGGTGGAGAGGTTGTTGGTAGGTAGGTATTACGGGGGTGGATAGGTAGGTATGTAGATAGGTATGTAGGTATGTATATAATTAGGTAGGTATGTAGCTAGATATGTATGTAGGTAGGCGTAGGTAGGTAGCTAGGTAGGTATACAGGTGACGATATGAAGTTAGCAGCTTGTCAGACTCTAACATCTTTCTATTGTCCGATGAACCGTCTAGAGATAAATATTTTATCCCTGATGTCTGCACTTGTCTTTCTGTCTGAGCTAGTCAACTCTGATTACTTTAACAGTCTGTTGATGAAATCTCCGCAGAGAAGGAAGTGACGTGGACGCAGAACGTCTGGAGGAGAGATTCCAGGACCTCGGCTTCGAGGTCAGGCGATATGATGACGTCACCTGCTCGAAAATGACGTCACTTTTATATGATGGTAGGATGTTGTATTGGTCTTACTGTTTATGGAGTTTTTCTCTTCCACCTTCTCCTCCTTCATCCATCATCATCTTCTTCTTCATCTTCTTCTTCTTCTTTTTTTTCTCCTCCTCCTCCTCTTCGTCCTCCTTCTCCTTTTTCCTGTTCTGTGTTTAGAAAATCTGTGCACGAGATCAACAATTAGCCCCATAAACTTGTCGCAGTCAGTTCAACTGTTGCGATGGCGCTTTTTCTGAGTTTTAAACATAATTTAATGTTAGTTTTTTTTTTTCATTATGCTGATTACGAAACAATGTCCCTCTGACTAGGTTAACAAAATGGCGGCTTGTTTGTTGTCTGTTTATTGGGCGGTGATGAAAAGTTGCCAGATCATAGACGAAGTTTTCCTCTTTGAATTCCATGCTCTGATTCATAGATGGCATTTTTGCTTTGCCATAATAAAATTAGTCTCATTACTTAATTGTCGGACCTTGTACACACATATACACGTACACATAAATACACATTCACAAATATACATACACATACACTCACATACACACATACATGCACACACACACATATTTACAAACACATATACGCAAACATATACACACATATACATACACACACGCATACTCACACATATACATACACACTCACATACACATACACACTCGCATAAAAAATACTAAATGAGGCACTGGTTTCCCAATACAGCGGCGTCCCAGGACCATTCCGAGCATGACTGTTTTGGTTGCGCCATCTTGTCCTACGGAAGAGAAGGGATGGTCTACGCTAGGGACGGTCACGTGTCTCTGGACCTGCTCGTGCTGCCTTTCAAGGGAGACAGGTGTCCTTCCCTCATCGGCAAACCTAAACTGTTCTTTATCCAGGTAGGTAGATATTATGTTTTTTACTACACTTTTTTGTTATTAGATGGTAAAAAAATGGTATCAGAGAGGTAACTACAATCTTTTAGTCAGGTCGTCTAAAGATTATGTACACATAGTAAACTACAATCGTTTAGTCAGGTCGTCTAAAGATTATGTACACATAGTAAACTACAATTGTTTAGTCAGGTCGTCTAAAGATTATGTACACATAGTAAACTACAGTCATTTAGTGAGGTCGTCTAAAGATTATGTACACATAGTAAACTACAATTGTTTAGTCAGGTCGTCTAAAGATTATGTACACATAGAAAACTACAATTGTTTAGTCAGGTCGTCTAAAGATTATGTACACATAGTAAACTACAGTCGTTTAGTCGGGTCGTCTAAAGATTATGTACACATAGTAAACTACAATTGTTTAGTCAGGTCGTCTCGAGATTATGTACACATAGTAAAAACTACGATTGTTTAGTCAGTCGTCTAAAGGTGAACACATGTAAACTACTGCGTAGGTCGTCTAAAGATTATGTACACATGGTAAACTACAATTGTTTAGTGAGGTCGTCAAAAGATTATGTACACGTAGAAAACTACAATTGTTTATTCAGGTCGTCTAAAGATTATTTACACATAGTAAACTACATTCGTTTATTCAGGTCGTCTAAAGATTATGTACACATAGTAAACTACAGTCGTTTAGTCAGGTCGTCTAACGATAATGTACACATAAGTCTACTACGATTGTTTAGTCAGGTCCTCTGAAAACTGCGTACACATAGGTAGACTACAACTGTTTAGTTAGGTCCTCTGAAAACTGCGTACACATAGGTAGACTCCAACTGTTTAGTTAGGTCCTCTAAAGGTTACGCAATGAGCTATTTTTAATTTTCAAGTTCTTTGAATATTACGTATAAATTTAGCTCACAACTTTATTTGTTTAGTCTGGTAATCTTACTTCCTCTTCATTTATAATTAATTTTCAACAATCGAACTAATTTGACAAGGCTTCAGTGTTGTGATTTGACAGTCGAATTCTTGAAATTCCTTGGACAACAAAAATAAGTAAAAATTTTGAAAGAGCTCAGTCATAAAGGTTCAACGGATGCATGGGGGGGGGGGGCGTCGGGGTGGAAGAGAGACATATGTGAGCTTGCAATAGCGAAAGAGTTGGATGAGGGCCTATACTCCAGTGGGAAATAGAATGCAGAAGAAGAACATATCAAGGCAATTTATCCCAACGTCAGAAAGAAGCAGTTGTCCTTTTTAGCGACTCTGTGAGAAACTAGGAAATGAAAGACATTGCGACAACTTGAAAAGTTTTTACAAAGCGAGATAGAGGAAGACAGCGAGAGAATTCCGACAGTCTTTTGTCATGGATCAGAAAACAAATACGTGCTACTTGAGATCTTAGGATGACGTGGGGCATGATCGCCTGCACCAGTCAGCATTTGATAGTGAGCCAGGGAAGAAATAAACAGGGATTTTTTTTTTTTTTAGATGTTGCCAGCCACGATTACGAGCTTTCTATTCTTCTTCTTCTTCTTCTTCTTCTTCTTCTTCTTCTTCTTCTTCTTCTTCTTCTTCTTCTTCTTCTTCTTCTTCTTTTCTTATTATTATTGTTATTATTATTGTTATTATTATTATTTGTCATCCTTCTCCTACTCTGCATCTTCCTCCCTTCCTCTCCTTCTCTTCCTCCTCCTCATTCTTTTGCTACTGCTGCTGCTTTAGGTGGTGCTACTGCTGCTACAATGATCTGTACACTTTTTTTTCTATTTTGTTTTCTTATTCTTTCTTCGTGATGTTTTGAGAGGGAAAAAAAGGCATGGAGGTGTGTCGGCACACGAACTGATACATGCGGAAGGAGATCGTAGATTGTGGAGAGGCATGATCGCCCACGCCAGTCGGCAAGGCACCTGATGATGATGATGATCCTATCTTCTTCTCTTCCTCTTCTTCCTTCTCCTCCTCCCCTTTCTATCAACTCCCAGTGAAACACAGAATTCCGCTGTAAACTTGTTCATGTATGGTTCATTTTGCATTTTAGCCTTCTCTCCCAGAATGCATGATAGATGACATATATACTATGCTTTGCTTTCCTTATGTGTCCCATAAACAGGAACATACTATGCTTTGCTTTCCTTATGTGTCCCATAAACAGGCATATACTATGCTTTGCTTTCCTTATGTGTCCCATAAACAGGCACATACTATGCTTTGCTTTCCTTGTGGGTCCCATAAACAGGCACATACTATGCTTTGCTTTCCTTATATGTCCCATAAGCAGGCACATACTATGCTTTGCTTTCCTTATAGGTCTCATAAATACGGGGGAGGGGGGGGGGTTATGAGTAGTTGTGTTTCATTCATTGGACATTCTAGAACAAACTCCAGCATTTGCTGGCTGTCTGTGCTTTAAACAGGCAATTTGACACGCAGTAGATCATCACTGCCAAACTGCACGGTGGGTCTTCATATCAATGGTGAAATCGACGCAAACGGGTTCCTGCCAAACACCTGCTGGGAAATCGAACTGGGTATTTTGGAATTATAAACCGCTTCCCTAACTCCTAAACCTCAGGGACCGGCTTGTTCCTATTACCGACCGCAGACACTGGATCTCTGACAGCTGTGAATTTAGGACAAGTATATGGTTTGTTAAAAACAAAAACAAAATATTGTGCAGTGAGCTGCTGTATGTATTACATGTAAATTGTTTATGGCTTTTCTGCAGGCATGCCAGTGCAGACGACACAGCATTTACCTGGACCCTACCTCCAGACAAGGAAAAGTGTCCCGGTCACCCTCTCCTGTGTCACCTTCCTCAAGCAGACGATCTCCCATGTCGCCCAGTTTTACAGGAGACGACGACCCGGTCGACGCTTGTGGTCTGGTTCACATGCGGAAAATTCCGGTAGAAGCCGACTGTCTCTTCTGTGTTTCCACTGTTCCAGGTACTTATCTCCGGCAAGAATTCATCTGTCGTTGTTGTGTCTTGTCTTTAATCTGTCCAGTCAATTCTGTTTTTCCACGGTTTCAGGGACTGTCAACAGCCAGAATACGTCAGCCGTTGGTGTGTCTTGAAACTGTCGAGTCAATAGAAGTGTATTGTCTCTTCTATATGTCCACGGTTCCAGTAGATATCCCTAGCAAGAATACGTCTGCCGTTGTTGTGGCTTATCTAATCTTGTCTTGAAACTGTGGAGCCAATAGAAGTGGATTGTCTCTTCTATATGTCCACGGTTCCACTACATATCCCTAGCAAGAATACGTCTGCTGTTGTTGTGGCTTATCTAATCTTGTCTTGAAACTGTGGAGCCAATAGAAGTGTATTGTCTCTTCTATATGTCCACGGTTCCACTACATATCCCTAGCAAGAATACGTCTGCTGTTGTTGTGGCTTATCTAATCTTGTCTTGAAACGGTCGAGCCAACAGAAGTGGATTGTCTCTTTTATATTCCCACAGTTCCAGGTACTGCCACCGGAAAGAATATGTACTGTTGTGTCAATGTCTATACACTGTCGAGCTACTAGAATAATCTAGAAGTAGCTTAACACAAACTATCGGGGTTGGGGGGAGGGGGGGGGTGGGGGGGGGGCTTCTAACGCAGGGACAGAAAAAGACGGACACAAATCAACCGAATGTTTTTGAGTAATTGGGAAATATACAGTTTCCCTTTTTAGGAAGTAAAGACGTGTGACCATTTATTGCAGTGGTTCTCAGCCTTTTTAACGCCGCGACCCTTTAATACAGTTTTATTACCTTTTCGTCCTTCTTAGGACGTTATTTTTTGTTATTTGAAGCCCCACTCTGGCTTTTGCCAGGGGCCGCAATATAGGCAGGTCATCATTATGGCCAAATGTCTGAACGCGGTTTCTGGGACCTCTCCACGGTGATCCTCATCCGCATGGTGGCACTTTGTGTCATCGGGTGTTTATCGCTTGTGTGATGTCCTGGTGGGGTAAAAAAATCCAATCCAATACAGTTCCTCATACATACACTGATTTTTGTTTCTACTTCATAACTTTAGTGAGCATGTGCTTTCCGATAGTCTTATGTGACCCCTGTGAAAGGATCGTTAGACCCCATCTATTGTTTATTGGCTATAAAAAATATGGGCCTTGTGTCCTTTGCTTGATGCGCCAGAGGGGTCTATAGGATCCTTTACTTATAAACTTATTGACAGTGTTTCTTTCTGGGGGTATGCAGCGGTACAAGTACCGGTAAATTGTTTCATGTATATTTTTTTTTCAGCACTGCTGTAATGAATATTGTAATAAGTACCAGTACCTTTCTTGCCCCTATACTTTGTAGTGAGTATAAGCTACTTTTTTTTTTTTGGAAAAAAGTCCTGCTTACTGCTACCACCACTACCACCACCACCACTACTACCACCACCACCACTACTACTACTACCACCACCACCACTACTACTATTACTACTACCACCACTACTATTACTACTACTAACAAAAGAAAGACAAAACGGACATAAATATCAGACCGCTTATAGTACCATCGGCATTGAAACTTTTCGCTGGCTGCTGAAGATGAGGGCGGGACGCTTATACCAAAGTCCTGAGTTCTGTGATATCGGTTCTTAACTAAGCTACTACTACTACCACCACCATCATTACTTCTACTATTACCATCACCACCATCACCACCACCACTACTACTCCTAGTCCTGCTGCTGCTGCAATTATTATTATTATTATTATTATTATTATTATCTTGTAGATTATCACATTGACACACCGTTTCCGCAGGCTATTACTCGTGGCGCAACAACCAGGACGGTTCCTGGTTCATCCAGGCCCTGTGTATCGTCCTGGAGAACTACAGCACCAAGATGGAGCTCATGCATATGCTGACACACGTCAACAGAATCGTGGCCTACGAGTTCGCTTCCTGCAGTGACCGAGAATTTGGCGAGTCCATGAAACAGATGCCTTGTATAGTCTCCATGTTGACCAGATACGTCTACTTCCGGCCCAAGAAACAGGATATCCGATAGCGTCTTTGTATAAACTAAAACAGGGTTCTTTAGTAATATCCTACTCCCATACGACGTCACAGGACAGTCTGACATTTTCGAGGGTGGTAAGACTGGGTTTCCCGGCTTTCTGATAGTTTTAACGACCTTCAAACATCTAGAACTGGCCCTTACCCCAACTCATCAACGTCCCACGAAAGAGTGCAGCCTAAGTCCCACGACTGCCTGCAGCCTAGGTCCCACGACTGCATGCAGCTTATCTACCACCCCCTGATATATTAGACTGTCCCGTGACCTGTGGATTTTCCGTTTGGGGTAGGATATATAGAAGCACACTAAAACAGATGTGTGTAACTCTCAAAGGGCCCAGAAGATGTCTTTTAATTAGACCATACTTTTTTAAATTTTTGTTGTTACAGTGTTAAAGTTCAAATTTGTGTTATAACCCACTTTTTGCCAAACTTTATTGATGGTTATAAGAGGAATGTTACAAAGTTAAACATGGAGAGAGCAAAACCACGTTTTGCAAAGTTCTAACTTGTAGCATGTATTGCAGTCAGCTGTCCTAACCCTGTCTCAGCTTGAATACAAATCATTTGATCATAGCTAGGGTTATTATCATGTTTTATTATTATAGCTATACATCCGTTTAATGTAGCTCCCCGCTTCCTTTGTTGTCCTGCTTCTGCTTCTGGTGTTGCGCAAACATTTTTGTTTGGAGTTTTAAAGCTGATGGTGGGTACATTAGCAATAGTTGCTCTTGGGTTCATTTAGTATCTAACAGTGTCTCCTTCTGTTCTTTTGGGTTCGTTTGTCTCTTTATTGTTAAGTAATAAACATTTTGACTGGAAATTTAGATGTGTTTTATCACTTGTTAGGTGTCTGCTTTGTACTTTGTAACCATCTGTATGAGATCCAATGGTGTTTCACCTTCGCCTCTTTGATACAGATGATCTGACATCACTGCACACCTTCTTGCCTTTGACGTTGTCAGTCTTAAGTAGTTGTTGCTTGAGCTCTTTATTTTCTAAAGATTAAACAAAGCCGCGCAGTCCAGTAACAACCCTACGACTTTCAGAGGTCGAGGCCAACATCTTGACCGATTTACCCTTGAAGATGTTGAGAAATGAAATCCTCTGTAAAAACTATCAGATGCTTTCTTGCAAACATACTCTAGCTTTCACCGTTACACTACTCACAAATTCGCTATTTTTGCAATGTGTATGGCGTGTGTTTGCTTCAGTCGATGGTCTGTGTTAACGATGTTTTTGATGTTGCCTTGAACGTTAAAAAATGTTGTGTTTCATTTTAAGAGATAAAAATAAACTGTGGTTTTCAAAAATAAAATAAAAGTTTGGTTTTAAAGGCCATATTCTTGTGTTCATGAACACATTTGTAAGTGGTAAATCTATTCTGCTAGATAACATAAACCGGATCTGAGCACAGTATGTCTATTTAGTGCAAGAATTTTAGATTGTGTAAACAAGAATGACGCAGCTCAGGGGTTGCGAAAGCAGTTTCACAATCGTCACATACTGGGATCCGATGGCAGCTGTGGGGGATCTGTTAGCAGACTGCTTTGCTTTGACTTTGACAGTGAGCATCGTACCGTTCAGTAAGCAATAGCAAGCTATTGATCGTAAAATTTATTAGAGAAACCATGCAACCTGCCGTAAATGGTAGAGCTGGCGTTTGAAGTCATGTAAAGAAGAAGCAGTTAAATTAATACACCACTCCTCTTCTCTCCTCTTCTTCTTCTTCTTCTTCTTCTTCTTCTTCTTCTTCTTCTTCTTCTTCTTCTTCTTCTTCTTCCTCCTCCTCCTCCTCTCCTCCTCGATCCTTCTGTCACAAAACTTATATCAGGAGGCCGGTAGTTTTTATGAAGCTATCATGCAGTCCATATCTTCTCGTGTACCATACAGCTTTGTCTTTATTGTGGTTGGAACAGGCCAGATTGCGTTTGCTTATATTTGACAGTTTTGGAGCACATCCTCAGCACTTTCGGGTGCCAAGTTGCAGTGGCGCGTCTCCGTCTTTCCTTCACCAAAAAGTTTGAACATATGTTGACGTACGCGGGGGATATTTTATCAATAAACTTTCCCCTTTTTATCAATCGGAATAAACAGATCCCCTTTTTACATAAGTGTCGGCTACATATGTAAACAGATTAGGTTGCTTTTGGGAGCTAGGTATCAATGCGTGTTGGCTATATATGTAGGTCATTTCGGTGTAGTATTTCTGCAATGATTCTAGTTGTCATGTTTCACTCGCCAACATCCATTCATTTCGCATTGACAGTCGTAGGCCATTGGTGTTCATTGCACCGTGTCTTGTCCTATATAGCTTGGTCATTCTCCGAAGAATGATTAGACGCCTGCCAAAGGTGTTGCATAAAATATGAACTACATTGCTCCAGTGACGATCCCCGTGGATCTTCGTAAAAATACATTCTCGAATCAAACTATGCAGTTTGTGAAACTAATCCACAGAGAACTTTTAAAAAGGATGAATGAATTAATCAATGCAGAACTGACACTGTTGCGTGCGGTCGGGTGATGTACCACACGCTAGCTAAATGTCCAGGGGATATGTATATAAAAATATCTAACAACATGTCTTTCCTCTCACATACACGCTGGATACCCTCTGTCCCCCAATTACGCCGCCAATTCTCCTTGGCACGGCTCATGTTGATTGTGATCATAACTGGCCTAATGGAGGGTCAACCCCAAACCAGAGAACAACTATAATCAAGGCACACGCAAATAACCACCACACACTGTCTACGAGTACGGTAACAAAATACACCCCGCCAAGTACGATTTTTCTATTGCGATGAGTCTCTTTATTGTGGACGAACACACACTGGTAAAAACAACGTCCACTGACGCTCTGAAGAGAATGAAACAGCTACTACTACAGTCATAACAAACCAATATGCCCTTTATGGAGAACGCCGAACACCCCGGGAGTCCGACTCAACAGTCCCAGGGACTCCTGGTGCTCGACCTCTTGAAGCCACTCCACCGACTGCCTCACCGTCCTCCTCAATCACCGACAGATTATAACGAAGATGAATTGGTGGTCGATGACTCACTGTCAAGTCTTCTACTGCCTTCCCAATACACATATCGGCAGTCACTCCAGACATGGACAAAACACCCCAGCGAACTATGTCTCAGGTGCCTGCTACGGGCAGCTCACACCCGACCACCCAGATACACCTATGTGATGTGCAGTGACAATCCTCTGACGGTGCTGCCTAAAAGGCCCCGTCACCAAGGACTCAAGATCTTCCCGTCAATCAGCCTCCTAAGCCCGGCTCGGTAGCACAGTTGGCTAAACCGGATTGCGCGGTGACCGGATGACGAACTCCTTGTGGTCCGGGTTCACGCCCGGGGGTAGGCAGAAAAGCCACATTTCTCCCAGATTTACGGTATTTATTATGGACTCAAGGCCGAAGGGTTACGATATCCATAATACCGAGCCTAAGGGTTAACAACTCGTGGCTTCTGGACACGTCCATACAGTAAGACGAACTGAAAGCAACTGACATGGATACCGGTTCACGTCCAACGGCCGGCCACACCTGGGTTTCACACATGGCCCACTATAGCTTTTTATAAGGCCATCCAGATCAATGGAAATTCCCGTTTTGTGGCAACTCCGAAGAACCGGTGTGACTTCACTATGTTTATCAAGTAGATTTATACATAAATCAAACTACAATTTCAACACATTTGTTTTAAAAACTAATTATCATTTTGAAAATAAATTATGGAAAAAAAGAAAATCAAGTTAATGGGGCTAGCTGACATAAGACGCAAGGGAAATAATAATAAGAAAATACACAGAGGCTACTTACTAACATATGCAGGAGGAGAAATATCGAAGAATGGAGTGGGTTTCCTGGTACATCCGGACATATCTAACTACATATTAGACATACATTATTAATAATATGAGAATCAACACTGAAAAGACAGAAGTAATGTCAATAGGAAAAAAGAAGACAGATCTAAACATAGCAATAGAATACAAAGGCATTAAACAGCATCTGAGTTTAAATATCTGGGAACTACATTTACCGAAGATGGGAAATTGGATAAAGAAATTGACATTAGATGCAGTAAAGCAAACCAAGTATTGGGACAGCTAGCCCCCCCCCCCCCCCCTCTTACAGCATAAGACAATCCCAATCAGCACAAAGAGACATCTTATTCAAAGCATATTTATTCCAACTCTGTGCTACCAGTGCCAGACATGGTCACTCACAACAAACCATAAAAGAAAATTAGTAACCACGGAAATGAGATGTCTGAGAAGGGCTGTAGGAGTGACCATAAGAGATAAGATCAGGAATGAGATCATAAGAGAACAAGTCGGCACAGAACCAATTCTGGATTACATACAAAGACAGCAAGTGAAATGGTTTGCCCACTTAGAGAGAATGCCTTGTGACACCATACCATACAAAGCATACATGGAAAGAGAAGAAGGACGTAGAGCACGGGGTAGACCAAGAACAAACTGGAAGGATAACATCAGAGAAACTCTACAACAGCACGATGTGCCTATGGTCGAGGCAGCCAGAAGAGCTAGAAACAGAACCTTATATCTCCCTCGACACCCACAGCGGTAAAAGAGGAAGTGAAGAAAAAGAAGAAGAAGATAAATTAGTGTGCTATATATTAGGGGCTACACCGAATATTCGCTTCGTATTCGCTTCGGGGCCCAATAGTGGACCTAATAGCTATTCGGTATTCGGCCGAATAGTGGCGGTCGGGCCGAATAAGAATAGTGATTTCTGCATACACTGCGATGGACTGAAATAACTCTCTCATTAATAATGTCACAATTTATAGCCGACTTTTCTTGATTTTCGCCGCGGCACCCCTGGCATACGCACCCAGTTTTATCATCTCTGCTGTAATGCCTCAGAGGAGTCAGCAGGCGCTATTACCAAGCAACCGGGTCGCAGTTTTCCCCGCTACGACAGATATAGGCAACGCTACTGTTGT